TGTGGACAGAGAGGACTGCTGGTTTGAATGGAAACCAAACAAGTTCATAAATGTATGGCACAACATAGGAGAACAACCCCGTCAGGACAAGATTCAGCAGTCCATCTGCATTTAGAAGACAAAGGCCGCTCTTTCGAGGACAGCAAAGTCCACATTTTGGACAGAGTGGACCGCTGGTTTGAAAGAGGGGTCAAAGAGGTCATCTATTCTATGTCAAAATTGAACAGCCCTCTTTCAACAGAGGGGAAGGGATACGACCTCATCTATCTCCAGTCTACAACACGGTCCTTTCAGCAGCTCCAGGAAGGCTCCACACCCATTTGCACCACTCAGGTGACCCTGACAACTCAGATAAACTTCCAAGTGGCCTCAACGACTCTCTAAAACAGGGGTCTTCAAACTTGGCCCTTTTATGACTTGTGGACTTCAACTCCCAGAATTCCTCAGCCAGGCACGCTTGCTGAGGAATTCTGGGAGTTGAAGTCCACAAGTCATAAAAGGGCCAAGTTTGAAGACCCCTGCCCTAAAAGAATGCAAATGACCAGCTGTCTGCAAGGAATATAAATCCTTCCCTTCCCCACCATCCAGTCAGAGCTGAAGATGCTTCTTGGATCAGAAGCGAAACATCTTCAAAGAAAAACAAGAAAGTCCAGTTGCTTCGTGAAAAAGCACCTTCGGGACAACCCTGACCTGGATGACGGAGAATCTCCACAGACGTTCAAGGGTGATAATAACCACTGGAATGAGTGTTGCTTCAAATAAGCTTATTCATGGCGTGTTTCTTTACTCCCCACGGGAGCAATTAATGGGGTTATTGCTCAAGACCCATCCGGCTTGAAGTAACCTGGCCACCCACTTCACTGTTTACACCCAGGTTTTGGAGAGTGGGAGGGTGCGACTTTTGATATAAAACCCTCAAGAAGCCAGGTGGTGCAGGAGAAGGTGCCTGGATCATCACAAGAAGAAAGACAGACCTGCAACATTTTGGCAGAAGGTGGAAGTGGGATCACCACCTGGATCTGCCTCGGCTGCCTAAGGGGATCCAGAAGCCTTCTTGATCAAATCAAGGGCGGCATCCTCCTAGCTGGGACCTGCAACGTTGCGCTTTTCCCACAACTGTGCCAAAAGACTCCTTTGAGCCCGGTTTGGCAGCTCTTCCAAATGCCAGTCAACCCGGGTTGAGTTAAGGAGAGGCTGCTTCTGAACACAGGCAGAGCACCCTTCCCTCTCTAGCACTTCTAGTCAGTTTCTGGGAATCTAGGTGTGAGCCAGCGTACGGGATTTTGGAAATTTACATCGGCAAAGTTGCCTTCTAAAAGAGGAGCAGACTCTTGGGCTCCCGGAGAGGTTAAAAGTGGCTTCCCTCACGGATAAGCTAGGAATGTTGGCTCTGAATATGATTCCCACCAAATTATGCAATTACAAATGTGTAATGGAATCGTATTGCCCAGTGTAAGGTCTTCAAACTTGGCCCTTTTATGACTTGTGGACTTCAACTCCCAGAATTCCTCAGCCAGACACACTGGCTGAGGAATTCTGGGAGTTGAAGTCCACAAGTCATAAAAGGGCCAAGTTTGAAGACCCTTGGCCTAGTGTTTCTCAACCTCAGCAACTTTAAGATGGGGGGACTCCAACTCCCAGAATTCCCTAGCCAGCCATGTTGGGAGTTGAAGTCCCTCCGTCTTAACGTTGCCAAGGTTGAGAAACACTGAAGTAGCTCCTGCTTGATTTTGATTAAATGTACATGTCAACAAAATGAAAAATCCATGTTGTTTTTGTGCTGGCCCCAGCTGCTATAATTCTGGCCTACACCCCCTTATCTGACACTTCAAAATGAAGTGTGAAAAAGTTAGAAACTCCATCTTGCCTTAGGCCCATCCTACCCACAGCTATGCAACAGACTCCTCAAAAAAGACACTTGATGCGCTATAAAGTTTTGGGAAGAAAGGAATGGCGATTCATTTATAGCCGACTATAAGAGGGCAGTAGTGTAGCTCAGAAAACCAGCCAGTGTAGCCTACAGATCTAGGATATTTTATTTTTTTATCCATCCCCAAAATGAACTGGATCTGACCCTCTTGGGTTTTGGGATCAGCTGACACCACTCTACCTTCTCTTTCAGCTGATGCTACAAAGTCCTAAACCAGGGGTGGGGAACCTTGGCTCTTTTATGACTTGTGGACTTTAACTCCCAGAATTCCTCAGCCAGCAGAATTCCTCTGAGCCAGAATTCCTCAGCATGGCTCTGGAATTCTGGGAGTTAAAGTCCACAAGTCATAAAAGAGCCAAGGTTCCCCACCCCTGTCCTAGACCTAGAAAACAAAAACAAGTAGTCCTCGACTTACGACCGCAACTGAGCCCAAAGTTTCCAGTTGCTAAGTGAGATGTGCTTCGTTTCAAGACCTTTCTTGCCACAGTTGTTAAGAGAACCAGTTATGACAGATATTACTGATATCACTGCAGTTATTAAGTGAATCATGCGGTTGTTAAGTGAATCTGGCTTACGCCATTGGCTTGGCGTGTGGGAAGTCACCTGAGAAGGTCACAAATGGTGATCACACGATGCCGGGACAATGCAACTGTGATAAATACATGCCAGTTGCCAAGCCCCTTAATTTTGATCACGTGACCATGGGGAATGGCCGCAACGGTCGTTAAGTGTGAAAACTGGTCGTAGGTCACTCTTTTCATTGCTCTTTTAACTTTGAGCGGTCACTAAACGAATGATTGTAAGTCAAAGGACTGCTTGTACACAGGTTATTCTAGGAATACCATCTGTATGGTTTCTTTTTTTCCCTCAGATCCTTTCTCCCTCATAGTCACTTAGGGCAGGGGTCTTCAAACTTGGCCCTTTTATGACTTGTGGACTTCAACTCCCAGAATTCCTCAGCCAGGCACGCCTGGCTGAGGAATTCTGGGAGTTGAAGTCCACAAGTCATAAAAGGGCCAAGTTTGAAGACCCCTGACTTAGGGTACAGATTGAGGGAAACGGGATGATATGCTTATGTCTTCCTTGACTTCATCCACAGTTCTACCAACTTTGGCCACTTCGAGCTTTTTAGAGAAAATATTTGTAGAAGAAATGGTTGGAAGGGACAATGTCCCAGACCTTGGGTTTTTATTTTTATTTATTTATTTTATTTATTAATTGCATTTATATCCCGCCCTTCTCCTTACGGACTCAGGGCGGCTGACAATTGAATAAAATACTAACATATATGCATATACTTAATTAAAATTTGATTAAAACGAAATATTTAACATGTCCAATTTAAAAGTAATTAAAACCCCCTTTAAAATCCCTCAGGCCAGTCCCGCTAGTTGGAACAGCCACGTCTTGAGGGCGCGGCGGAAGGAAGGGAGATCAGGGATCACCCTGATCTCTGGGGGCAGTTCGTTCCAGAGGGTGGGGGCTCCCAC